TAATGTTTATGTCCATCATCGTCTTTTCATGTTGAATTGTATATGGTCTATGTTAATTATGTTTTATGAATATGTCCTGAAGATGGTCTATTAGACCAGAAACGTCTGACGTTGACATTTTAAACATTAAAACAGCATAATCGTATATTAGGATTTTTGTTTGTTTTTTCAGTATATTTTTTCTTCATATATATATATATATATATATATATATATATATATATATATATATATGCATATATATATATGCGCAAGTATGCAGAAAAATAGAAACGAACACGTTGGGTGTATAATCCGGAGTTCCTTAGTATTTTTGTTTTTTTTTTTAAGAAGACAGTGCTCCATACAGAAGTAGAGCTAATATTATTTTTTTTTAAATATGATTCCTTCGCTACATAAGAGTTCTCATGTTTCAAAGACGAGAGCCGAAACCATCAATATAATTATTAAAATTAAGTTGAATCAAGGTGTTGGGTCCCGTTTCATCCTCAACAACACCTTGATTCAACTTAATTTTAATAATTATATTGATGGTTTCGGCTCTCGTCTTTGAAACATGAGAACTCTTATAATATATATATATATATATATATATATAAAGACATTTTTATGTTTATACATTCTTTTTTATAGATACAAATATTTAAGTAAACGCTCTGTTTATAATAAACAGTATTAACGACATTTACCGGTTTGAATGTCCGAGAAACTTACATAGAAAATATTCGTCCTCCGACAGGATTCGAACCTGTATCCTATATGGAAGCGGATAAATACCGTATTGTCCATTTCATTATATATATATATATATATATATATATATGAATTATAAATCTGACTGTTCTTTCTTTTTATTTTGACACGCACACACATATAGGTGATGATGGCGTTTAGCATGAAACAGTCTGTCGCTTCTGAGTGTTGACTTTTATGTTGACTTTTATATTTACATACGCTCAATCTATGATATTGAGCACTTTATCCCATAAATATAGCATGCCTTAAAACTATATTTCTTCATATATATTTCTTTTTTCATATATATATATATATATATATATATGTGTGTGTGTGTGTGTGTGTGTGTGTGTGTGTGTGTGTGTGTGTGTGTGTTTGTAAACAAGCGTTCACAACGTAAGGGAGCAATATTGTGAACGCTTGTTTACAAAATAAAAGCACCATGTATGGAAAAAGTTTTAATTTTAAAATAATTATAGCAGATTATGCTCACGCGTGTTTACTAAAATCGCCCATGACAACGATCACAATTGCATTAATTTTGTCTTCGCAATTCAGCCCTGTGGATGATCTCGAAGCCGATCGAAAGTACCTGGGTTAACAAAAACTACGCCGCTTCCCTTGATGAATTTCAGCTTAACATCAAGAAACTAATTAGAGAACTAGAAAGGATTATTACAAAAATAAATAGACATAACATGTCGATATTGTTCAATGAAACCTGCTTCAATGAAGATATGCTACCCACACACACACACACACACATATATATATATATATATATATATATAGGAAAATATATA